ACTTCTCTTTGGCATTCAATTTCTGTTGTACTTTACAGAATGAGTCTATCGATATTACTCCTTAAAATAGTTAGGGTATCTTGCAGTTGAGAGCTTTTGATAATATTATTCTCTGTTGTCATTTTTGCTGCATTTTGCTATAGCTTTACTTTGTTTTCATTTATTTGTCTTTTGCTAAGCGCCGCAGTTTTATTTATTGTTCTATTTTGGCTTAAAAAAATAATTAAAATTGTGTGTTTTTTTTTCCGATTTATATTGGATAAAAATATTTCAACTTTAATTCAATATTTGCGTGGGTGTGGAACAGTTATCTCTGAAGCTGACCCACATTGCGCATATGCTTGGTAAACGTTGTAGCTTTTTTTTTTTTTGTATTTTATTATTATTATGAAATGTGTTTAGTTGCGTTAAAATATTATTGTTTATTAACACCTTTTGCAGCTCATTTTTATTTTGTTGCTTTTGTTATTGAAACAGTCGGCGAGACTGGCGAGCCCAGTTGGCTAAAATAATAATTTGTTGTTTGTTGGCGCTTTCACACTTTTCAAGTCGAACAGTTAATATTATGTTTTGAATACCCTAGAAAAATGGATGAAAGAAAAGGTTAAGTTCAAAATTGTTGTGCGAGTTCATAAGAGAGTAGTGCGCATTCGTTGGCAGTACAACTTTATTTTTTTTTGTTACCATTGAGCCGCTTTTTGCATCGCTTGAGTTTTAGTTTTGGCCTATGCAAATATTGTCTAACAAACAATTTGTGCGCTTTGCTTGTGTGTGCGTGTGTCGCTAGAGTTTGTCTTTTGTCACTTTTGTAACGGTTGACAATTTATAGCGCAAGGTTGTCATTGCCCACTTAGAAAGGTAGAGAGAGTTTCCATCAACCCTGAAATAGTTTGCATTGCCATACGATATATGTTTTGATGTGAAATTGGATAGGGTTTAACCTCTTGTACCGTGTGCATACCACAGAAGTGCAAGAATAATAATAATTTGGGCAACGAGATGCCGGCTTAAGAGAGATGTAAATTTGATTTCGAATAAACATGAATGTAGTTTAGAAATAAATCTTTAAAGAGACTATAATATTGAAATGAAATGTTAACAACCTTATTTAACGTCTTCATATAGATTAAATTAACATATTTTGCTATGGGTTTCTAATATTGAATTCATAGTAAACATATTAATAAAATACAATTTAATTACATTTAATTTGCATTTCGCACTCGAATTTCAGTTTGAGTAAGGCGTGTGGGATGAGTCCAATGAAAATTGGAATGAAACGAGAGTTTCCAGCTCCGTTTCAGCAATCGCTCTTAAGCAGTAGATCAAAGAGAGGGGCGAAGGGTTGTAGGCTCCGTGTCCTTGCCTCGTGTAGCAGTATTTATGAGACGCGCGGCTCAACAGTTGCCGTGTATATACATATGTACATGTGTGTGATGGGCTTATTAAATATTTAAAATGATGCTGCCATATATGGGGCATAAATACACTGGCAACTGTGGCACGTGCCGCGCGTGTCGCGTTGACGCATTATGACAACGCAAATGCCATGGGAAAAAAAAAAAACGAAATAAATTGAAACAATAATAAAAACCCGTGTGGCATGAAAGTTAATTAGGTACATTTTCACGAGGCTGCAACACATGCCTCAGATCCCAGGGCGGTGGAGCCTGGGGGCACCAAGAGATTGTGTGGATGTGCAGTAGCAGATATCAGTGCCACGATATGATTTCGAGCTATTTGATATGTAAAAGGCTATATATAAATTCAGTCACATGCTTATCGTTGAATAATATTTCTCTCTCTATCTATCTATCTCCTTCACAATAGTTCTGTCTCTGTCTGTCTCTTAGTTGTTATATATGTAGTGCAACCTCTATTATGTTGCAGCACACAGACTATGTTGCTACAAATGGCTTTGAGTTGCGGCAACTGCTTGACTGATGAAGCCAACTCGTCAACGGTTCTCTCTGCTCTCTCGCTGTCCCTCTCTGTTTGATGTTGCCCTCTCAATCGCACTGTCCACTTGCAGTGCTGTCAGTTTGTCAATGCCTCCGTGCAAAGCTTCTCATAAGTTGTCGCTTGATTTACAGCTGAGCAATGTAACTATCTACCGTCTGCTGGCTTTGGTCTGGTCTCTGTCTCTGTCTTTGATGTGCTTCTGATTCACTGCGTCCGCCTTTCAGGGTGACGCCAGCCGCTTGACGTTTGGCTCCCATATGATTTATATCTCTCTAAGGCGAATGACGCCCTGTGGGGTCAGTGGCCCAAACGGTCTAACTGTGGAACTACAGTGCACAAGAATGAGGTCTGCGACTAGATAAATGCTTGTTGGTATTTAAGCATTACGTAGCTTCTGTACGTTAATTAATAGTATTAGCAGTGTATTTTTACTTAACTTACTTGAATGAACAGTGCCATTCGAATAGTTAGTTCTCTAGACAATCAACGATAAACGAACATAAAACTGTTTACATCTACGTACGTTCCATTTACGTAATAACGTAACGTAGCGAAAAATAATGTAATCACAACCAGGTCTCTTAATGATCAGCGAACTTCAAACGTTTTAAAACTACGTATGCTCCATTTACGTAATTACGTAAGGCATATAAAGAGAAAAATAATAAAATCACACCCAGGCTTAAAGTTCTGCAAACTTGAAGAGTTTTAAACCTACTTATGTTCCATTTACGTAATTACGTAAGGCATACATAGCGGAATATAATAGAATCGCATCCAGGTCTCTTAAAGATCAACGAACCTCAAACGCTTTGAAGTTACGTATGTTCTATTTACGTAATTACGTAAGGCATATATAGAGAAAACTAACAAAACCACATCCAGGCTTAAAGTTCTGCGAACTTGAAGAGTTTTAAGGCTACTTATGTTGCATTTACTTAATTACGTAAGGCATACATAGCTAAATATAATAAAATCGCATCCAGGCTTAAAGTTCTGCGAACTTGAAGCGTTTTAAAGCTAAACATGTTCCATTTACGTAATTACGTAAGGCATGCAAAGCGGAATATAATATAATCGCATCCAGGTCTCTTAAAGATCAGCGAACGTCAAGCGTTTTAAAGCTACGTATGTTCCATTTACGTAATTACGTAAGGCATGTACAGAGAAAAACAATCAAATCACATCGAAGGTTAAAGTTCTGCGAACTTGAAGGGTTTTAAAGCTACGTATGTTCCATTTACGTAATTACGTAAGGGATACATGGCGAAATATAATAGAATCGCATCCGGGTCTCTTAAAGATCAACGAACCTTAAACGCTTTAAAGCTTCGTATGTTCCATTTACGTAATTACGTAAGGCATGTACAGAGAAAAACAATAAAATCACATCGAAGGTTAAAGTTCTGCGAACTTGAAGGGTTTTAAGGCTACGTTTGTTCCATTTACGTAATTACGTAAGGCATATATAGAGAAAACTAACGAAACCACATCCAGGCTTAAAGTTCTGCGAACTTGAAGAGTTTTAAGGCTACTTATGTTGCATTTACTTAATTACGTAAGGCATACATAGCTAAATATAATAAAATCGCATCCAGGCTTAAAGTTCTGCGAACTTCAAGCGTTTTAAAGCTACGTATGTTCCATTTACGTAATTACGTAAGGGATACATGGCGAAATATAATAGAATCGCATCCAGGTCTCTTAAAAATCAACGAACCTCAAACGCTTTGAAGCTACGTATGTTCCATTTACGTAATTACGTAAGGCATATATAGAGAAAACTAACAAAACCACACCCAGGCTTAAAGTTCTGCGAACTTGAAGAGTTTTAAACCTACTTATGTTCCATTTACGTAATTACGTAAGGCATACATAGCGAAATATCTCTCTTTTCTTAAAGATCACCGAACGTCAAGTGTTTTAAAGCTACGTATGTTCCATTTACGCAATTACGTAAAATAATAAAATCACATCCAGGTACCATAACGATCTGCGAATTTTAAGCGTTTCAAAGCCACGTGTTCCATTTACGTAATTACGTAAGGCATGCATAGCTAAAAATAATAAAATTATATCCAGTTCTCTTAATGATAAACGAACTTCAAACGCTTTGAGCCTACATACATATGTTTCATTATGTAATGCATACATAGCGAAATATATTAAGATCATATCCAGTTGTTCTCTTAATACTCAAAGAATTTCAAACGCTTTAAATGCTGCGTATGCTCCAATTACGTAAAGCTTTTTCTCTTTATGTTTTAATTGTGTAACTCTTTTAATTTTCGTGCCTAACGGAATTTTTTATTAACGAAAGTATTAGTTACGTCAGGTGTCCTAAATGAATGGAAATTTCTATAAACAAATCAATTAAATATTTGATGCTTTAACTTTAGAAAAGCAAAAGCCAGCTAAAAAAGAGATTTTTCTGATATTTAATGCATATTTCTGCAGTTGAACTTGCGTCCAGTTGCAATATAAAATAGTTACGTAATGAACTGTGATTTCGCAAAGCAAGGCAATTGTCACGTAGTTTTCATTAAAAATCCAACTGCAGCTAATTTGATTTCATTAGCAATGCTGCTTGCACAGCAGCCTGTTGGAATGTGCAGGATGTGGCTGGGGCTGGGGGTGGGCGAGTGGACATTGCCAGGATTGATGAGGGGCGAGGTTTGCATTAAAGTTGAGGATTATAAAAACTTTGCTGTGATGGACGTAACGGGGATTTAGTGTGGAATTAGGTGTAAAAGCTGAGAAAAACTTATCAGCCATGCCAGCAGTCGGTGCGGCGGCAAAGGACACGCTTCAACAGGAAACTGACTGCCTCCGCTATGACAGTGGGGGAGGCGGGGCAGAGCGGGCATGCTGTAGAATGAATTATTGATTTTGTTAATAATTCAATTGCATCAGGCAAATGCAAAAACTTTGCTGCTCTCCTGCCTCTGATTCGTTTATGTTGTAGAAAAACTTTGCTCATGGACTTTGCGGTTTGCCTTATAGCTTACTCACTCTCTCTTTCTGTCTCGCTCTTGCAGATAACCACATCGACAGCCAAGAAGCTGTGGGAGAAATCGGATGGCAAGAGCGGCGCTACAGCTGGCGGTCCACTCAATCCACTGCAAATTCCCGGCGTCGGGGATCACTCGTCCGTATGGAAAGATCACACATGGTCCACACAGGGCGAGAATATATTGGCACCGCCAAGGCCGCGTGGTTATCCACATGCCGGCGCTTCAGATAACTCAAACAGCGGCAATGCGGGCATTCTGAGGTGAGTTGACTAATAACTATTAAATTATACATATATAAATAAATATATATCTAATCAATTTGCATATCTCTTGCTGCTGCTTAGCCCCCGCGATTCATGCGTTAAGATGGTTGAATATGTTCTGGGCGGCTCACCCACCAACAAGGAGAGCCCCTTGTCCAGCTTGGAGCCGCGAATGCGCAATTTGAAATTTGACGACAATGATAAGGTAAGCTGAGAGAGCAAACAATGGAGAGATATGATTGTATATAATATGTAACTCTTCTTACAGTCACACGATGATAAGGAGAAGGCAAACTCGCCGTTTGATACAAACGGGCTAAAGAAGGACGACCAAGTCACAAACACAAATGGAGTCGTCAATGGCATTGATGATGACAAGGGATTCAAGTGAGTAGCACAGACTCCGTTGCAAGCTGAACCAGATCAAATCAGACTGATCAACTTTTCTACTGTCTGTCTGTCTCATTGTCTAGTTCAAGTCTGGCCAATGGCATTGACATTAGAACGGCTAGGCTGTAGGCCTAAGCCATGGCCAGAAACTGGTTTCTTCAAGGTCCGCAACAAGACACGTTCTTGTATAGCGTGCAAGCGAGCAGGGGCAACCGGGAGCACTCGAGTTGCGTCAGTTGCAAGTTGCAAGTGAAGTTATGTTTGACTTGCGGCAGAGAGCGGGGCTTATTAACAAATGAGAAATGTTGGAGATAAACCTGACTTAAATTAATTTCTCTTAGTGGAGACAGAAAAAATTATAGAAATCTGTTGATAATCTATTTAAATATTTATTATTTTGGCATAAGTAAATATTTATTATTTTGGCATAAGTTTTTATATTTGCTATAAAATTTTCCTTTATTAATTTTCTAGTTTGCTATTTAGCAATTTGTACTCGACTATATGTAGCATGTTAAGCTCTAAATCTAGATTTTTCTGTCGAGGTTCTGGTCTAGATGGGGAATTATGAGTTATTGGCGTCTTCGTTTCTAGCGGAGTTCTCCATCTGGTGTATTAGAATGGGATGTATAGTTTCTTTGTTTATTTATTGTGTCTTCGAGCGAGATCTAGTTCAGTGTAACACTCGGTACAGCTGAGAGTTCTGAGGTCTGAGTTAGTCCTTGTATTTTGTATATAGTAGGTAGGATAGGACAAATGGCAATATTTGTTGTTAGAAGTAGATCTTAATAGGCTGTAGGCATGCGAGTAAATAAGAGAAAATTTGTTCAAAGATCCTTATAAAAATTGCATTACGAAGTACTTTAGAGATATTTTAATAGACATTCATAATATAAATATTTTAATAGACATTTATTAACAATTGTTTAGAGCTATATTTCTTGATTTTAAAATGGGTACCTTCATTTTTTTAAACTAAGAATTCATTCATTCATTAAAGAGTATTCTCGCTTCAATTTTTTATTCATTAAAAATGTAGTTAAAATATCAATGAACTGCAAACGCGGTCAATAGTTTGCAGTAGATATTTCTTATGTCTGTATGTGTAGATTCGGCAAAGTTAACATTTTTCCCCCAATTGTCAGTTAAGATTCGTTGAGTCAACAATAAAACACCCACTCTGTCAAATGCTGCCCACTTGGCCCACATTTTTATTTTTTATTTTTTTCTGTTGCTGCTGAATTTTTATCGCTTTGGCTGTAATTATTTTCCTCGTCTTTTCTGTCTTTCTGTCCTCTTGTTGTGGAGCTCGCATATCGAAAGATGATTCAGTTTTTTTTTTTATTGTCAAGTGTTTTATATGTCTAGAGGTTGGGTCTTTCGAAGCACTTTCTATATGAACTGCAACGACATGAGGATGCCCAAGTTTATTGCGAAATATAAAATGTCTTTAAGTGTGCGCAGTAGTTGGCAGTTGGAATATATGATATATGACAGCTATTATTAATGTTCTAGAGTTATTTGTTATAAAATATTTCAGTTTGATTAAGTGCTTATTGTATAAAACTACTTTATAGGAAAATCCGTTTAGAGCTGAGTTCCTTATTTCTCTTATATCCTTCAATTCCTTATGTTTGACTGTCTCTGATTCGACTTCTGCTTCTCACTGGGTTTATCTAATTCTTCTTAATATTTGTCTTTCTTTATTCATATCCTACACTGCTGTAATAAGTCTCTTTATTATTTATCCCGTTTTCAGATCTTCATAATCTGAATTTTTCTCAATGTCGGTCTCTATGTCTGCATTTCTCTCTCTCTCTCGCGCTCTTTTCGATATTAGCTCTTCCTGTGTGCATCTTTCACTCCTTATCTTAGTCTTGCTCAATTTTAGTTTCTATCAATCTTAATCTATCTCCATATAAGTCTCTCTGTGTACCCTTCTCTCTCTCTTTCTGTCTATCTACGCCTCTTTCTTTCCTATCTCTCCCTCTCTCTCTCTCTCTCTCTCTCTCGCTCTCTATCTCTATTTCTCTCCCTTTTTATTCTCTCTACTATCTGTGTCAATAAGTCTTCATATTCTGTCTCTCTCTCTGTTTACCTATGCTATATACGATACATTGCTATTTCTCTCTCTCTCTCTCTCTCTCTCTCTCTCTCTCTCTCTGAGTCGATAAGTCTTCATATTCTGTCTCTCTCTATTTACCTATACTATATACGATGCATCGCTCTTTCTCTCTTAATCTCTCTGTCTCTCTCTTTCTGTCCCCCCTCGGCTGCAGAGCAAACACAATTCGCTTTCATTGTAATCATATTTCAGTTGTCGCTTACAAAACACGCACTGCCTAAAACCTGAGGCCTTTTAAAGTTTTCTGGCCATTTGCAGAGCTTAGCCAGACCGAACAAATAATAAAAACCAGTCGTAGTCGTGTCTTCGGACTGTTGTTGTTGCTGTTGTAGTTGCTGTTGTTGGTTTTGTTGTTCTTATTGTGTGCTCTGCTCTGGTCTGCCGGTTTTCTCTTTCAATTGGTGTTGTTGTATTTGTTGTTTTGCAATTTCATTGCCGGTGTCGGCGGCGCAGCCAAAACGTGTTTCAATGCCAAACGTAATAACGGTTATGATGTAAGTAATCAACAGCAAGCAGCAACTACAACAACAACAACAACAACAGCAACAACATGATTCAGATAGCAACAAATTTTTAGCTCCATTGAGCTGTTTTGGTATAGCATTTTGTTCGATTAGTTTGCGTTTATGTTTGCTTTTGTTGCCGCCTCGGGTTTCGCTTTATTTTTTTATATTTCAATTTTTTTTTATGTACAAAATTTATTTTTGTTAAGTTATTTTTTTTTTTTTTTTTTTTTTTTTGGTTTTTGGCTCACGTTTTGTGCGGCGCACACTGAAATTCAGTTGCGAAAATTTGAAACACGGCTGAAAATTGTGGCAACAGCCCCAACTTTGGGCTGGGGGCTTGAGTTCGAGTTTTCAAGCTGTTGGCGTTTGTGGTTTCAGTTACTACACCTGAGCACCTGTCCGGCGACCTACTCTCGACACAGACATGGCCAGCAGCAACAGATTGTGTTGCTGTTGTTGTAGTTGTAGTTGTCTGCCTGCTAACTTGGTCAACTTGCGCTCTGCTGACCTTTTTATTTAGTTTTAACGGCAGCGCACTTTCTTTTTGGCTGCCGTTGAAAGTGAAAAATTTCGTTTTTCTTTCATTCATTTTTGTTGTTGTTGTGCCTATTGCATAAGCGAGATTAGAATATGAGATTAGAATATTTTTGACCCGCATTCAGAAACGGAATGACCAAACGTTGACCAAGGGAACTGACCTGGCTCAAGTTGATGGAGGAAAGCTGGTGGGGCAGGCGGGGCTTTTGACCATTTGCCAGGCTGTGTAAATGGAATCCCTTAACGAATGCATAAAGCTTGTGCTGTGTGGGATTCAATAAATTTTGGTAGAAATATAAAAGCTCAGCTCTATTTGAGTAATTTTTTTTTTTGCATACAAAACATTTGTAAATATTTATTTATAAAAATTTACACTAAATTAGGTTTATTTCACAAAATAACAAAATCATAAAAATATAAATTTACATATTTTTTTTACCCTCTAAATAAAAGTTTTTTTTTTTTTTTTTTTTTCTAAATACGTAAAGTTTTCCCAATTTGAGGCTAGATTTATATTTAATAATATTTAAACTTCAAAATAGTTGCTAAATTTCACTCAACTACATTCAATTAATTAAAATTGATTGATTGTACTTAAAACAAGTAAGAAAACTCTAGTCGAGAGTGCTCGACTAGATACTACCCTGAA